GAATACATTCTCGAGATGCTTCATGTAACGCAATAATTTTTGCATGGTTGGATGAAGTTGCAGTTATTGTTTGTTTCACTGATTTCCATGATATTGTAGCTCCATGTCTTAAAAATACATATCGTGTTTGAAATTTAACTGTTGTAGTATCAAATTTATATCCTACATCACAATATCCAAATAATTTTGGATCTGCAGATTGTGTATAGTATAATCCAAAGTCTTTAGTATCTTTTAAATAATATAATAAATATTTGATACCATTCTAATGTCGTAGTATTGGACGTGAATTATGTCTTGCAAGAACACTAATTGTAAATATAATACCTGATCTTGTAGATGTAGCTAAATACAAAAGTGCTCCAACCGCTGTGAGGTATGGATATTGATCTCCCAATATTTCCTCCTCTTCTTTGCATGAATGGTATGGATTATGACCATTACGACCACATCCAACCATTGGTATGGACAATGGATAAGCATCAATCATATTAAATCTTTGTAAGATTTGTTTAATATATGTTACTTGGTAGAGAAAAATGCTACCATCTGTTAGATGCATAATATGAAGACCAATGCAAAAAATTATTTTTATTGGCATTTTCATCTCAAATTTATGTATAAGTAGGTTAATAGCTGTAACACATGTAGATGTAGTGCCTATTGAATTAAGATCATCAACATATATAACAATGATGACAAAACCAGTTTTATCTCATTTGATAAACAAACAAGGGATTAATAGATCACTTACAAACTTATTTGTAATTAAATAATCTTAAAGACGTTAATATTCTATGTGTCTAAATTGTTTTAAATCATACAAGGCCTTACATAATTTAATACCACGATATTGTCCCGGAGCGGGTCCATTTGGAGTTCCTGTTTCTAAGCCAGGTAGAACTTTCATATAAATATTTGCATGAAGAGAACCATATAGATATGCAGTTAGTACATCCATGAGATGCATCTCAAGATTGGCATGAACTGTCATTCCAATAATATATCAAAATATAATTGAATCCATGATTGGAGAATATGTGGATTCATAATCAATGCCAAATTATTGAGTAAATCCTTGAGCAATAAGACGAGCTTTATAGCTGGTTATTTAACCTTGAATATCTTGCTTACATATTAATACCATTTTATATCCTATAAGGTAAGATATAAGAGTGTCTATAATTAGACCAAAGACTTTCCTCTTACGCAAAGAGGCATACTCCTCCTCAATAGCAATTTTCCATTTTGACTAATTAGAGCGACACATCGCCTCCTCAATGGTTTGAGGTTCAAGATTGTCTTCCTTGCAAGAAAGGACTTCTATAATCATATATGCAAATGATTCATCTACTGTAATAGATAGTATATTCCAAATATCATCTATACCACAATACAAAATAGTTAATTCTTTACTCAACTTATTTTTATTCCTTCTAATTCCAAGATTGTTTTTCATAGAAATTGAAGGTACATTATGCATGGATATATCATCATGAATAGGTAGTCCCGCAAGATGAGTGGCAATTTCTTGAAAAATAATACCATGATTAGTAAATTTTATAGCTTTTTTTTTACGTGGTTGCTTATTTGGTCCACAAGTTTTTTTAGTTGTTGTTGTTATAACTTGAGGTATTATAGTCAATGGCACTGCAATCTGAGCAAGTGCATTCTGAGCCTCATTAATAGGATCTTGTAATTCTAGGTGCATCATTGAAGCCATCAGGTGTTTCATCTATGATCCATTTTAGATGCAAAATCTTAGCAACTTCAGTTTGTACCAAAGATGTCCTAGGATCGGGATTCATTGTAAACGTTTCTAGTACTTCAAATATGAGTACTTTATTTCTTTGTTGATTGGATACTCTTTCTTGAAGAAATGGGAATATATTTTCTTCAAAACAATAAATTTGCAAATGTACACGTAATAATGTGTTAGTTGATGGATCAACAATATGAATAATGCTTGGTGAATCAAAACCAACATATATGCCTTCTTATCGATGAGTTCCAATGGTACATCGTTGAGGTTCTGGTACTAAAATCCAAGCTTGGCAACCAAATATTCATAAGTGAGATATATTTGGAATACAACCCAAAATGAGCTCATGTGGTGAAAAAATTTCAAGAGAAAAAGGGCGGAGGCATGTTAATGCTCCAGCATGTAAAACTGCATGATTCCACATAGATGCAAGTAAATTTTTGTGAAGGAGGAGTGGCCGGATAATGAGTTGTATATGCTTTATAAATGACTTTGCAAGTCCATGTTCATATGGAACACAATATGTTAACTCAATTCTTGTTGCAGTACAATAGTCTTCAAAAGACTTTGATGCGAATTCTTTTGCATTATCTATATGAAATGTTTTTATAGGATAATCAAGAAAATATGCCCGAAAATGAATAAGCATAGATATAAGATTGGCAAACACCATGTTTTGAGTTGATGATAATGAAACATGTGATTGTTTATCTGATGCATCAACAAGGACCAAAAAATAATGAAATGGTCTCGATATTGGATTAATAGGACTATAAATATCACCATGCAATCTTTCAAGCATTGGTGATAATTCTTGTGGGATTTTTCAAATTGGAGACCAAGTAATCATTTTACCTTGTATGCATGCATGACATAATTTCATAGAGTCTACATCTGCAAGCTTTAAATTATATCTAGTTATACATGGAATGAACTTTCTAAATAATGTAGATCATAGATGTCCCAATCGTCCATACTAGAAAGAAACACGATTCTTTGTGATAGATAATGCAAAATTAAATATAATGGGAGGCCAAATCACAATTCGATACAAACCATTTTCTGTAGCAAAAGCTTTTTCAACAACTTTATGGTTCTTTGCAAGAAGCAAAACCTCCTATTCCTTTCATATTTGAAACCACCAAAAATCTCTAGATATTATCTCTAAAGTCTTATTGTATCCAAAATATCCAACTATTGGAAAGTCATGATAAGCTTGAAGAATATGTAATTGAGCTTTGCCTTTTTAAATGTATAATTATTCCTTGAAGTAGATTAGATTATTTTTGAATTCATACTTGAAAGTATCATGAGACTTAGAAGAATTATTCTTGATATCATGAACAAGAGGATCAAAAGACATATTTGATTGAATATCTTGACAAATGTTGAATCAATAATCAATATTGATTTTATTGCTCAAAGATGAAAATGCTCTGGCTTTAAAAAAATTATTTTTTATTAATCAAAAGCTAACTTTCTTTCTTTTGGTATAAGATAAGAATTTTTAGAAAAAAAATTTGATAAATCTTGTTATTTTTTGGATCTATAGATGAACTTGAAATCAAATTTTGATAAAAGCATATTCCAATAGGCTTAGCAATAATTCAAAATATATATCAACATGAAGTATTTGAGGTTTTTGTGATCCATATATATAATAACTAGATTAAAAGTACCTTTTAGATAATGACGTCATTCTTGAAATGGATCTACAATTATAAGAAGCTCTTTGTTGTGGATCTTGTAATTAATCTCAACTCCTAAAAATTTCTTGGAATAAAAAGAAAATAGGTGGAACTTATTATCTGCTCTCATTCATGATAAAATAGCACCTATAGCAAATTTTGATGTGTTTGTCTCTATGAAGAATGCCTTAAAAAAATTAATACAATACAAAATTGGTGTAAAAAGAAATATTATTTTTAAGGCTTCAAAGAATACTTTTATTTCTTTTTTCTACCTAAGTTTGTCTTTAAATGTCAGACGTATTAAAATAGTTATAATTTGAAAAAAGAACTTGATAAAGATTTGATAATAATTCACAAATTTTAAAAAATATTACACATCTTTGTCTGTTTTTGGGACCTTTCAATCTATTATAGTCTGAACCTTCTCAAGATCCATCATTAATCTTTTGTTGGAAATGATGTATCCTAAAAAATCAACTTGAGTGGTATAGAATACATATTTTTTTACATCTTTGCATATAATCTTGCATCTCTAAGTTTTTGTAATATACAACAAACATAAAAGTCATGTTCTTTTAAGTTCTTAAAATATATTAGAATATTATTTTAATAAAAAATAATAAAATCATCAAGAAATTTATGAAAGATGTTAATTATGAAATGTACATTTATAAGTCCAGAAAGCATAATATTATATTTGAAATGTCTATACTTAGTTCAAAAAGGAGTCTTTTATTCATCTTACTTTTTGATGCAGATTAAATTGTATGTTCTTTGTAGATCTATTTTTGTATAAATCTTTACTTGATTGAGTTGGTCAAGAAATCAAAGATAAAAAATACTTATTTTTGATGGTGATTTTGTTAAGTCCTTAATAGTTTACATATAAAATTTTTAGCTAAGTTCTTATCAATGTATTCCTTGAATGTAGCCAATTCATTTTACAATAAGTTATAGATTGGTCCAAATTGTAGTTGAGCTCCTTCTTATAGATCAATTGTACAATCATAGGATTGATGCTCTAGAAGAATGTCTATATTCTCTTTTTCAAAAATGTTATCGTAATACGTAAAGTCTTGCTTGAGAATGCTCCAAGCACCTGGTTGTGGAAGGTAGAATAAAAATCGCAACAACAAAATCCTAATTCTAATAGAACACTAATAATGCTAAATAAGCTTTAATCAAATTCAGAGAAACTTCAAAAGAATTCCAAAGAAACAATAAGAAATCTTAAAGAAATATTAGAATGATTACAAACATATCTCAAATATATCTCAATTCAATCTTAATTTAATCCTAGTTGAAATCTTATTGCACTCGGAGAGCGTCCTGGACTGGTGGCCCAACTGTCGGTAGCACATGTTGGCAAAGTAGACCCTGCCCAAGACGAACGCTCTTCAGGCAATAGGTTCATGTGTACGGCAGCAGGCTCCGAGTCGCCACATGCAAAAGAATCCCAGATGGCCCACTGTTCAGTATCTGGGCATCCACCCTTGCTGCGCATACACAATGAATGTTGAGCTCAATAGCCGGTCATCGGTTGACCTGACGCTCAAGCACGAGGAGCTATCTGTCGGCAACTGATTCGTCCCCCAACCCCCGAGTCGTGCACTCATGCGCACCAGTGGTTGCACTGGAGCTGGCGAATGGGAGCGGTCTCTGAGATCCACCATAAGAGGTCGCATTGGCCTGGCAATCTGCATTCAAGTGGCAGCATCCGCAATCCTCTCTCATCAACCTCCACTCGCGAGTTCCCATTCAGAACGGCAACCATGGCGCGGCACATCATCCTCGCACTCCTCGTCGCAACAATCTTCTCCGCCGCCATCGCACAGGACGAGGCGGAGTGGATCGATGCCCACAACGCCGCTCGCAGCGTGGTTGGCACCCCCCTGCTCACGTGGAACACCACTTTGGCTGACTATGCGCTCGCGTATACCCAGACTCTGACGGGATCTTGCGATGATTGGGGTCATTCGGGTGGGGACTATGGCGAGAACATCTACTGGGGCGGAAGCACCGCTGACACTCCCACCGAAGCCGTCCAACTATGGGTCTCCGAGAGTGCAGCCTACACATACGGCCCGTTCGATGACAGCACGCTGTCATGCTGTGGGCATTACACGCAGGTGGTGTGGAATACCACCACTAGCGTCGGGTGTGCTAAGGTCCTGTGCGCATCATATGTCAACTATCCAGTGTTCATGATTTGCAGCTACTCTCCTCCAGGAAACTACGTTGGAGAGTATCCTTACTAGATGGATCGACCAGTCATCGATCAGGCCATGGGCGGATCCACCGACTAATCACCTGCGGTGCGAGGGCAACAATGTGTTGATTCTCTAGGAGTATGTAGCTTGTGTACTGCGTGATGGACCGGCTTGAATAAAACGAGCAACTTAGACGTGGTTGCGTGGTTGGCGTTAAGAGCCCGTGCACCTGATGCAGGGTAGCACGGAATTACGTGAGGACCCTTGGAGTGCCACCATCACAACTCCATGGTGGCTTTTGCGCGCATAGTGGGCACTAATCATTGACGCTGTACCTGGGCGGTCAGTAGACAGTCGGAGGTTGTTAGATATGGCAAGGATAGTGAATGCATATGCTCAACTTATGTAAACAATATTGTGTTAATAATAACGTTACAAGCTTTTTTGCTTTCTGTATGCCAACTACGTGTGAGATTTTATGTCTAGCCGCATCTCTTAACAAGACCCATGTTTTATGAATAATTATGCCTTAATTTTTCTTTCAAGGACACACATATTCTTCGTATTTGTCTTTGTAGAATATGAAAGAAAAAAATAATCAAAGCTTTTAAGTGAGATAAGTTAGAAATAATTTTTTATTTTTCATTGATACAAATTGAGAAGTAAAGTCAATTTTCTAAGTATACTTATAATATTTGTTTTAAATATATATATATATATATATATATATATAAAATTGACTCCAATATTGGTTAACTTGGCCATTCATCATTACACCTTCCATTTTCCATTGTGATTTTAAGCTCCTATCTGCCATTCCAATGACTAGCCTATATCTCTTGTTCACATCCCAAATCCATGTTTGCCATTTCTATTAAGAACACATATCTCCCATCAAAATACTCCCTTCTTTTGTTGTTCCCAGCTCCCATCCTCATATTGCAACCTTCACTATTTGTTGTTTCCATCTTTATTTCCTTAGACAACAATCTTATTTAATCTTTTCTTTTATAGAAGCACAAGTTTTTTTGCTTTCATTTGTTAATGGAGTGATTCAAGTTTTTCCTCCTCTTCTTCTTTTTTATGAGATTAATTATTGTGTTTGAAGTTTTCTTTTGTGGATTGATGAAGTAGATTGTATTATTTTATAGTTGAGAGAGTATGATGCATTGCTTGTGGATTTATCTCATAATGTCTTTCGACCATGATTAATATTGTAGATCTACTTAAATGCTTGAATTGAGCCTTTCAAGTAATTGGAATTAGATTTTTTAAAGTTATTTGGTGAAATGAGTTTCATATATTTATAATTGATGTAATGAATGGTTTGAATTTGTGTCAAGTTAGCCTTAGATTGAATCAATGGCATCTTTAAAATCAGCATGAAGAGGAAGAGGAGGAGGAGTTCAACTCACTAATTCACTCCAAGATATAGAGCATAAAAATATATGCCTTCATAAAAGAACCATTTGAATGAAATTGTTGTTATTGTGTAATTTGAAAACTAACCTAAGAATGTATAGGACATTTGATTGTAAAAGGATTTGACCTTATCTTATATTTTCATCGACAAATCAAAATAATGCATTAAAAGATTTAAAAGTTAAATATAATAACTTCATAAAAAATATATATATATATATATATAATTAAAAGAGCTTCATAAAGAATAAAAATTTATTACAAATATTCTTAAAGTAGAAAATTTTTATTTAAATATTATAATAATGTATGATTATTTTATTTTAATATTAATATTAATAGACCTTTTAATTAATTAGATTATGACAAGCATGGCCTATTTATTACCTAGAGATAAATTAATTTAATAGCATATCAATTTCAAATAATACTATCAATAAAGATACATCTTAATTTTCATTTGTCTTCTATTGAGCTTTATATAGCAATAAATGTATTAGGAAGAGGTCAATCATAGTTATCTCTTATTGAAACAGATAAAAATTAAGAGTTTGAAGAAGAAGACGGCTTAGATTCAAGATAATATTGAAATAAAATATAATATCTCATACATTGGGATAGATATGATATTAGTAAAAGCACATGGAAATAATGTGAGAATCTAGTAAATGCATCAAAACTTATCTTTGACTTTTATTAACATTTTGTATCAAAACTAAGAACTAAGAATTAACAATAAGATGGTATGAATGAAGGAGAAACAAGTTTAAGAATTAACTTGTAAAATTATTTTACAAATATAAAAAAATAAGAACTAATAAATTTATATTAAGAATTTATATTTATAAAATTATTGAATAATACTCATAGATTTTTTTAATTTAGACAACATTATCATTGTAATAAAGATCCTTAAAAGAAACATATTCTTTCTTGAATAGATGGTAAGAAATAATGTCTTTGGTATCATGACCTTAAAAGACCCTTGATACTTAGTGATATTATTAGAAGTAGTTGTTGCACCTAATAAAGTATAAAATATATTATTAAAAAGTAGCTATGAAATTTTTAATAATAATCAATTAATCATTTGATTTTTTTATCTTAATAAAAAATATTAATAATGATTAAAAGAATCTATTAACTATTTTTGTACAAATTAAAGATTAAAATTTGTTATCTATATCATTTAATATATTTTGGATTTCATCAATTTATGAAGTAATTATATAATTTTTTGTAGAAATTATTACTTAGAAGAAGAAAATTATATAAATAATAGCCATATTTACTAATATATGTATTTAGATTAATAGAACTAATTAAAAGTAAGTAGAAGAAGATTATATTGTTCATGTCTTGTTGAAAAGCTTTTTAAAAGCTTTATAGACTTAACATATACTTATAAGTGATTTTTAGGTTGATATCTTGGCTAACAAGTTAGCCATATATCATATATTTAGCCACTTGTATTATATGCTTGCTATATTGTTAACTTGTTTGTTATGCAATTTAAGTGAGGATTAATTCCTCCTACATTAGAAACTGCTTCTTTCTATTTAATGCCTTCTTTTTTCTTATAGTAGTATCCTATAATATTTGGATATATAAATCCTAATTCCAACAACTTATAATCTAGCTTATTACTTCTTTTATACTACACCTTATAAACCTAAGTTTATTTAGGCTCTAAGTTGTAGTAACAAGCAAATTTCTTTCCAATTATTATCTCTTTTTACTTTCATCCAACTTATTTTGCACTCAAACTTGTCTTTTTTATCATTCATAAATCTCTTATGTTGACTTTATAATAAAATTTTGAATTAAAAATAGAATATCTTCATAATTCTAAAGAAAGTAAGTACATATTCTTTACCTTCAAAGCAAGTTGTACAAACTATCAAAATCTAATCTTGGTTCTACAATAATAATGTTACTCCAAGTTTCAACTTTTAGATTGTGGTGTCATATTGTAATATAGCTAATAGATGAAAGAGAGAAAAAAAAATTATATTATAAAAGATCTTATTTCAAAATATAGCTATAAACTACCTTTGAAATAAAAATAATAGTCAAAAAGATATTGAAACTAATAAATATTAATCTTGTATTTTTTTCAAAATAAGCTTTTATTTACTTTGTAGGACCAAAAATAAGAAAACATAAGATAGAATAGTAATATTAGTATTATGGACAACTTAAGATAGAAGTAAATAGTAGTTTCTAGGAAAAATTTCTAAAAAAACTAAATATTAATATCTAAATAAGATTGGTTATGAACCTCAATCAAAATCAAATTGGTTGATAAAAAATTACATCCTTATTGAAAATTTGTAGTTCTTTTATTGATTAAAGAATAGAATTCAAGAGAAAACAAGAAAAAAATTCATTAGACATTGATTTTGAATGATTTAAGTTTGTAATGACTTTATAAAAGCTTTATAAAGTCAAGGATTTTTTAGAGATGACATTGATTAGTGTAAAATAAAAGGATTTATATTTTTTAAAAATTTTGTGAGAAACATAGAAAATCTATTGATAAAAGATATATAAGTAATGATTTTTATATATAATTTTTTGTAAAGTTTATACTATTAAATTAAATATATTCAAATGATTAGATCAAATATGATTGAAATTTAGGTGATTTTTGAATTAGATTTTTTTTAATATTTGGATTTAAGCTAATATTTATATAGATTTCAATAAATAAATAAATTTATAAATAAAAAATTTAAGATAAATAGAAGCTTTATTCAATGAGTTTAGACTTAATATATTTAATTTTTTATTTGAAACTTATAACTTATATCTATTAGAAATAACTTTGATATGTCTATTTTATATATTTTATTACTAATACTTTGCCAAGTTTTTTATCTATATTATACTTTAAATCAATTAGAATTGTGAAATCAATAATCAATTTAGAAATTGCCATTAAATTTTATTATTTTTTTTTCAAATTTAAATAAATTCTATAAAAAAATAAGAAAATCAAAATAAAATATTATTAATATTAAATTCTAATAATAATTAATTATTATTCAATTTTCTATTATAATTATTAATATGCTTAATATAAATAGTAGAAATACCAAACATCAAGTGGTTTATCTAATTCAATAGCAAATTTAACTTCTTTCTTTATATAAGAATCTCAAATAACTACAATATGCCAATGAGTTCTAAAAAAATTACAATCTAAATATGACTTGAATTTTGAATAGAACTATCAACGCTTATTAATTCAGATTTTATAATTTAATAGCAAGAACTATGAGGTTAGTCTATTTGCTTCTTTTAATTGTAGAACTTTTTAGTATAAACTTTGTACCTCATTATTGACTTCTTCCATAGTTGTAAGAATAGTACTCTAATGGTTGATATAGATAATATATAAAATTATTATATAACATGTTTAACAAATTAGCAATATTTTTAAACTATCAAAAATATAAAATAAAAAATACAAAATATAAAATCAAATCAAATAATAATACATTCTTGTATTACTAAAAGATAGATATAAAGATAAAAATGAAATAGCTATTGCCAAATGCAAAAAGACTAGGAAGTTCTAAACCATGGTAGAACATAAAAAAGTCATTGACATAAAGAAAGAAGGCCTCACTATGGCCTCTATATATACTATCTATTAAAGAATTATGTACCAAAGTCCTATAGGCCATGTAACTTGTGTTTGACTTTGAAGGCACATGTCTAAATTTTAAGGCAAGTTTCCAATATATATGCCATATAGCCAACTTACAACACAAGTGGCAACATATGAAAACTTTTTGGCCAATCTATCAACATACTAATTATTATTAATACGTATAAAGTCTACACAGCTTCTAAAAAACTTTCCAACAAAATATGAACAATTTAACCTACTTCTACTTACTTTTATTTAATTATACTTATTTAAGTAAGTATAGTTGTAAATATAGCTTTGCATTATATTTAAGATTGTGTAATTATAAAGCATCTAAATATATGTTCTAGTAATGAGATAACATACATATCAACTATGGCAACAACAAATTGTTGATTCATGGCACATAATTAACCTTTGTTGCTAATCATCTTTTTTGTGAAGGCTAATTTTGTAGTATCATACAACTATTTGGTTAAAGTATTAGTAAAGACCTATATATATATATATATATATATATATAACTTAGTATAAGATTAATAGCTATTTTTTCAAGAATACATAGTTAATAGTTTTATCATAGTTATAAATTTTATTTTATATGTTATTTATTTTATTAAAAATATCTTCTATTTACTTTAAAGTTTATAAATAGAATAAAATAAGATAAAATAGGTAGAAAAATTATTAAAATTATATCTAAAATAAATAAAAAATAGGCTCTAATAAAATTAAAAATAAATAAATAAAATTGATATCCAAAGAAGTCTAATTGTGACATTAGATCAAAATTAAATTTCAAACTTTAAAGTATAAGAATAAATTTTTATAGCAAATAAAATATTTTTTAAAATTAAATTATATTATTAAAAAGAAATATATTAGAGCATTCTAAAGATGTAAAATTTTTAGGATTTAAATATAGATAAGCTCATTATATAACCTCAAAAATTAAATATTTTTTAGGCATTTTAATTTCTAAGATTATAAATATCATTTTAATTTTTTAAAAAATTCTTTAAAATCTTAGTTTAATCTATAATTAAATTATTTTGAGTATATTTATATTTATTAAAAATTTTATTATTAAATAATTTATCCAAAAATATTTTTTAAAAAGTAAAAAAAGTATGAAAAGTAACTTCATATCTTTTTAGCTATTTATGTAAAAAATATTATTTTTAGTTAATTTAAATTCATTATATAACTATAAAAAAATTTATAAGATGAAAAAGTATCTTTAAATTTATATTAATATTATAAGAATATTATAAGTATTTTTTTATTTATTTAAAATTTAGTTATAATTTTATAGAAAGTTTTGGAGTATATTTTAAAGAATTTGGTAAAAATAATTTTATCACCTTGGAATACTACTATGAAGAATTTGAGAAAGATTTAAAAGCCTTGAAAGGTTTTCAGGCTAATTCAATATTTTTGAATACCATGTTAATTTTTAAAATAAAAAATAATTGGTTTTATTAGAAAAAAATAGGAAGAGTTGCAACTAATGTTGCAATTGTAGGAAGGGAGGTACACATATTCCATATGGATTATAGCATCTTGGATGTTGGTGGGAGTATAAGACCAAGGCATTGTAGTCAAAGACATCCAAATATACTAATTGTAGTTCTTGAGGAAGCTCAAATCTTTGATCTTAAAAGAAAGATATCTTTAAAGTAAAACATATTTAATTATTTTTTTAATTATTTTATTTCTATATTTACAACTCACTAATAGTAATATAGATTTATATATTTTTTATATCATTAGAAAGATAAAATAAATTAAATATCTAAATATATAATTTTTATATTTATTTTTATTTTTTACTAAATAAATATCTTGTGAATAAATCTTATAAGATTTGGCTATTGAAGTTTTAAACTAAATTTTGACAAAAGAAAAAAACTTTCTCAATAATGGTTTGAATTATATTATTTTTTAATATATATAAATTGGATCTTCTTTAAAACTTATGAACATATAAAAGAATTATTCATCCATTAGTATAAAAAAAAATAAGAATTTATCCAACTATGTAATCAAAAGTTGTAGCTTAATGAAGTTTCTTGCTTAAAATTTAGGCTTTCATAGAATTTGCTTGACATTTTAAGAATTTTTTATGGAATTTGTTTAGGATTTGAGAAGATTTCTTTTTTAGTATTTTTTTAATATATATATATATATATAATTAGGATTTTTTAGGATTTTGTAGGATTAGATCAAAAATTATTAAGAATTATTTAAGTTTTTATTAAGATTTTTTTTGAGATTTGTTAATTTATTTTTTAAGCTTATAAAAGTGATTTTCTAAAAAGTCATAACTCTGATAGTTCATGTTGATTAGATTGACTTCTACAATGGCATCCATTGGTACTTGTTTATTTTCATATCCTTTAATTTATTAAATTTATTTTATAATATTTAAATTGTATAAAATAGTATTATAATTTTTGTAAATGTTTTTCAAATTTTTATGTGAAAATTTTCTTGGATGTAATTGATTTCAGAATTTTAATTTGATAATTAAATAGATAGTTTATTTTACTACAATTTTGAAAATTAAAATAATATTGAATATCTTTAGCTCTTTAAAATTTACTATGTTTTTTTGTTGCTTCTATAGTTTTTCAAGTATATGTTTTTTGTATTTGATATATATATAATATTACATGTTTATTTTTCTTAAGAATTAATCAACTTAAATTTACGAATTACATCAGATAATATTGAAAGTCCTTTATGTTATTCTTGAAAAAAAAAGAAATCAATAAAATCAATAAAATCAAGCACATGCCACGAATATTGAGGCGTTATTTTTTCTATAATTAAAATCATTTTTGAAAAAAACAAGAATATTCTAATTCATGCCTTGATACAAATGCTCAAATACAAAAAGTAAGGACCACTTTTGGAAGAATAGATCTTACTTTTAACACAGTTTCAACTACTAAATCATGTAAATAATAAAAAAATAAAAATAAAATAAAATAAATCTAAGATGAGCAAACATAGTGCTCCACTCAATTCTTGTCGATCATCTCATCAGTAAACTGTAGCACTTGCAATGTACAAATGATCACGTGCTTATGACCTGGCTATTAGATTATAGAGTTACTAATATAGTAACAGCAACTGTAATCAGATGAAACCGTATAATCATTCAGTCGTAGAGTTGTGACTGTTCAGTAACAACTCCCTGGAATGCATAAACAATGTTCATACATTATTATCAATAATGAATTATGCAACTATGATAGCTCAGACCTTCACGTAATTCTATTATGGTATCAGACCAAATCTCTGCGAATTTAGAAATACAAATTCCAAAGGAACAATAAAAATTCACAATGAGAAGGAACTGTGAAAGAAGACATTCTTCACAGAAATTTTGGGCACCAAAAAAAAAATCCTTCTCTTCAATATGGCTACAACTGGCCTCTCAATCAAGGAGTGGCCAAAATTCAACAACTCTTGGTATGCTGTCTAGAGGCAAAAAATACAAATGAAATTAGAGATGGAAGAATTATGGGAGTTAATCTTTGGTGTAGAAAAACAACCCTCACCTATTCCAAAAATCAATGCAGCAACGATAACTCCACCAACAAATCAAGCTACTATCTCTACATGGAAAAAGAGAGATTGTATTGTTTTAGCAGCTATATGGGATTGTGTAGGCAATTCCATATTCTCCTATGTAGGAGTGCAAAACAACCAATGAAGCATGGCTTGTACTTGAAAATATATATTTTGCAAATGACATTGCCATTTGAGCTTATCTAAAAGAAAAATTTATTACTTAAAAAATGAAAGTAGGAGACTGAGTAATACAACACTTGCACAATTTTAGGACATGACTTCAACAATATCAATCTGTTGGAGTAATAATTTCATCCAAAGTGGAGATCTTCACCCTTATGGGGTCAATGCCATCCCAATATGGCACAGTAATTTAAACTCTCCGCACCACAAAAACTGCAACTTTGCTAAAATTGATTGCTATCCTATTGCAAGAGGAGATGGCTATGAAGAACTCATCCTTTGAATCTCAAGTACTCTTTGCAAGCCACAAAGGCAAGAGTAAGTGGCGACCATGACCCACTACAAAGCAACCACAAAAAGACTAAAAAAATTCTAAAAAAAAATCAAAACCAATGACTCCATGTTCTCATTGCAAAAAGATGAGACATTGGGGTTTAAAATGTTTTATGAAAAACAACAAAATCAAATCCACTGCCAACACAATAAGCACATCTCATGATAATAGAAAGTCAAAATAGAAGTTAGAAAATTAAGAAGAATTGTCTCCCTCATTTTATTCTCATGTTTATCTTATATGTGCATATTACTCTAAGAAATTTGCACAACCAAGAGCAACAAAAGATAACAAATGGTTTATTGATACTAGAGCCACACATCACTTGGCTCATAATAAAAAATAATTCATGAATTTTGAATCACTTTCACCTATTGAAAGTAGAATTCATCCTAGAGATGATACAACACTTATAATTTATGGCAAATACAATGTTGAGATATCTATGATAAATGGCATAGTTATACATCTCACTAATGCCCTTTATGTCTCCAATCTACATAAAAATTTATTTTCAGTTTGTGATCATGATAAACAAGGCGGAGGCATTCTTACAAAAAATAGGATGTACCACCTTCTTACACAAGACGACTCACTTTTGGCTTCTTGTCCACTTCAAAATAGTCTTTATCTCCTTGGCACCACTGTGTTTCAGCATCACAATATCCAATCTAATATTGTCACTCTTCTAGGTGATGATATTGATTTCTCACCGATAATTTTTTCCATGACCAATATCACTCACTTCGGCAATGGTATAGATAATTTTTCATCCAATCCATTGTAGTATTTGGACATGCTTACAATTACCAATTTCTTAGTGTTTCCTTCACTACAATAGCTACTTCTTTTGGCTGAGCACTTAGTTTCAACCTTCAAGCCTAACATTACTTCTTTGATCGCATGGCAGCTTCTCCTAGAATTCACAACTACATTGGCCATGATGGGTCAACCACAAAAAAATAGAGCCTACAAATTATTACAAGTTTAGCTTGACCTCAAATATCTTTAAAATATGTAATTCTAGTCATCAAGAATTCTAAGATGTCATATTACAGATTGGGCATTTTAGCACAAGCCACTTGAAACAACTAGCTAAAAATCAAGCAATCACAAGCCTACCTTTAAAACGTATTCCACAATGAATGTGCTCCACATGTATTCATGGCAACCAAACGGCAATCAGATTTCCTAAAATTGCTACAACTTGTGCTACTCAACTCCTTGAAGTAATACATTCGGATCTAAATGGCCATATTGCAATACCAAATTTTTTTAGGTTATGAATACTATGTTACCTTCATAGATGATTTTTCTTGCTACATCATGCTCCAACTTATTTGTTAAAAAAGTGAAAGTTCCATGTATTTAAAATTTTTAATACTTGAGCTTAAACTCAAAGAGGATGTACACTTCGTATTCTTCACTTCGATCATCAGATTTTGACCAATATTTAGAGGCCCATGGCATGGAATGCCAAACCATTGCTTACACTCCATGTAAATATAGTGTTGTGGAAAGAAAAAATTGCACTCTTCTTAATGCTACTAAGTGTCTTCTTCATGGATCAGTTATCAAAACCTTATTGGGGTGAAGCAATCACTTGTACAACTTATTTGCATAATTGCTGCCCCACCAAAGCAATTCCACCCAACACAACTCCATTTGAACCTTGGCACAAACAAAATCTTTGGCAGTCCTTGTTTTGCCGAATTCCAGATCCTCTTCTGGTTAAACTTGACAATAAAACACATGAATGTATATTCCTGGGTTATAGCTCCCTTAGTAAAGGCTATAAAGTACAACAAATCAGCAATGGAGCAACGATTACTTCTAGTGACGTCGTGTTGAAGGAGGAGCTCGGTTCAGAATATTTTTCTGCAACATCGGCTCCGCGACCCTCAGACTCTGAACTCCAAAAGGATCCCTGGTTCTATCAGCCCATCGAATCTTCAAATATTCATTGTTCTGGCACAGGTTCTGGAATAATTGCTGAAGTGATACCCTCCGACAGACCTCCTTCAAGTCTGCCACCTCTATCTCCGCTGGATGCTATCATGGTAAGGCCCGCGACCTCGCCGCACCTTACGGTTCTACTCCCCTTGGACTCCAGCGTCGATCAACATTCCCTTCTCGCTCAACCAGTTTCTGATAGCCTTGTTCTGCCCCTAGCAATCCACCAGCTTCCTATTTTCCCATCAACGGAGGCACTGTCCTCAGTCTATCCGTGCCACATCACGTTCTCTTTCTTGCATAAACGGTTTGACTCGCGTTTGGGCTTGGAGTTAATGCCGCATCTCGGCAAGCATCCTCAGCCCTGCACCAACTCAGCCCTGCACCAACTCAGCCCCACAATACCAGGACTCGCCTCAGTTGATGTGGCCCGTGTTCCTCTCCGCCAGTCCACCCCCACAACAAAAGGGGTGCCCCCTCCAAGGGACCCGAATGAAAATTACAATCCGGAGACACTCAAGTCGCGCTCCAAAAAATCAGGACGTCCTCCTCACGCTCTGATTTCAGTCAAAGAGGTTCCATTGGAACCCGCAACTTGTGTGCAAGCAGTCGATTCTCCGGAGGCTTCCGAATGGAAGATGGCTATTGCGGAAGAATTAAATTCTCATGCAGTAAATTCTACGTGGACCTTCACATATCTTCCTCCTCATCCGGAGCCAATTACTTGCCGATGGATTTTTAAAATCAAGTTAAAAAATTCCGGGGCCGTGGACCGCTTCAAAGCTCGACTTGTGGCTCGCGGCTTCAACCAAATTCAGGGTTTAGATTACACTGAAACATTTTCACCCGTTGTTTGGATTCAATCCATTCGCCTTATTCTGGCTCTCGCTGTTCAACTTGACCTCCATGTACACCAAATTTTAAATGGCACTCTTCAAGAAAAAATTTACATGCAGGTTCCGGAAAGTGTCACTCCTCCACAACCCGGAATGGTGTGTCGTCTTCATAAAACAATCTATGGGCTAAAACAATTCCCCAGCGAATGGTTTAAGGTGATTAACACATACTTGGCTACTCTTGGATTTATCAATTCGACAGCCGATGGCGATGAATATTATCTCCATCGCGGTTCCGATTTTGCGATTCTCACATTAAATGTGGATGACACTCTTATTGCAAGCAACAGCCTTCTGTTGCTTCACACTATTAACCCAAACAGCGACGCAGACTGGGCAGGCGATCTCGATGAAAGACGGTCCACAACGGGATACTGTTTAATTTTGTCAGAGGCCGTCATCAGCTGGAGTTCCACTCGACAGCGATCGACGGCCGCCTCCGAGCTTGTCTGGCTTCGTCACCTGCTCCACGATCTACACCAAACTGAAACTTTGAAATAGCCCACTGAGATCCACTGTGATAACCAGTCAGCGCTTGCGTTGGTAGACACAACCAAGTTCCATTCTCGTACGAAGCACATCGCAATTAGGTATCACTTTATTCGACAGCTCGCGAATCTCCAAAATTAAAGTTTCGATACTGATCCACTCACCATGTGAGCGCCGATCTGTTCACAAAGTCTCTGTTTGGGCCGAAGCTTGCCCAGCACCTACCGTTACTTGGCATTCTTTGAGGAGAAACCCCTGCCACATCATGATACAGTTAAGAGGGTGTACTAGATTATAGAGTTACTAATATAGTAACAGTAACTGTAATTAGATGAAACCGTATAATCATCCAGTCGTAGAGTTGTGACTGTTCAGTAACAACTCCCTGGAATGGATAAACAATGTTCATACATTATTATCAATAATGAATTATGCAACTATGATAGCTCAGACCTTCACGTAATTCTATTACTGGCAACATCGAGTTCGAGAGTGCATGCAAAGTTAACATGCAGTCGCCGAGAAAAGGTATCCATGTTGTCTTTTCATGTTGTCTTTTCAGACAGAAAGTGCTCCATCCTCCTCTGCTCTTATCCAGCAATTCCACAGCAGGCAAGTCTTCGCCATTGCATCGGATAAGCTTCATATGCCTCGTTGGCATTTCTGGATCAAAAGTATTCGTCTTCTTACAGCAATCGCCAGGACGCAGTTTTTAAGGAATGGAAACTAGATCCAACTTGCCCCCGTGGTAGTTCTTCCATGCCCCGGTCCACAACTTCTCTGCCGCGTTTTCTTTACTCTTGTGTAAAGGGTCGGTTGTCACAGCATCCGAGATCCAGAGACCCCACATCGGATCCGAGCAGGATCTCCCTCCGCACATTCTAGTATATCATCAATAGAGCAAACGTAGCCTCACGCACGGAGGCACCTGCAATGGCTGGTTCCATGTCTGAATTCATTCTCCAGCTCGCTTTCAGGATTTCCTCCGCAGCCATGTAAGCCATCTCACACCGAGAGCACCGACCAGCTTCCGAGGACCCTAAAATGGGAAAATCAAAGAGCTTTCCCGGTGTATGATGAATGTGTACAAGAGCATAAGAATATGAATCCAGGGAACAGGGCAACTCATGATCCTTCTCTTCATGGAACTGCCCAGGTCATCGCTATAGTTATAATACAAAAACTTGTCTTTATTCATGATTTGGATCATGTATCATGTCTTTAATAGATTTGGTTACATGCTTTATATATTTTTTAAAACTAAATAATTTTAAATATTTCCTACATGTTTTAATGTGATGTGTAATAAAAGACATCTTGCAATTATTGCCATGTTATAAAGATATAAAGTCAATTAGAAAATTAAATGAAATTTCTTCTTAAACTTAAAGATTTTTTGAATTTTCATATCTTGAATTTTATTTTATTTTATTAATATTGACATAAAATACATCTCCTTATTCAAATAGATTATTTCATATTTTTATTTTATGCAAAAAAAACATTCTTATCAAACTTATGAAAAGGATTATATTTTAAAACATTCTTTGATATGTATGTAATAAAAATCAAAACTCTATAGAACAAAAAATATCTTAAATTGTAGGAGATCTTTTTTATTCCATCATATTTTAAGTATTTTTAGAATTCATAGAAATTTTCTTTTTGTTGTAATGTACTCCAAATATTAAATACTATACTAGTAAAAAAATTAAAAATGTTATCAAATTTAGACTCGTTTATTTTTTTTTATACCAAATATTCATTATTCATTATACAAAATTAATACATTATTTAAATAGATGATCACAATTCTTTTGAAAAATATCAATTATTACATGTTCAAAGATTTTAGATAAAAGTACAACTATTATTTATATAAAATCATATTCAAAGTGCTTGTAACTTATATGAAATAATATATCTTATAACTTGATTATTTTTTAATTTTAATAAGAATGCAAACATATTTAAATTCAATTCTTGTAATGAACTTTGGTTGCTTAAGTAATTTGTACAGTCTTAAAATAAAAAATATTAATTAATAATTATTCATATTTATTTTTTCAATCTCCAATAATTTATATATCTATAGCTCTTCTTTATTTCCTTGTTAAAAAACACAATAGATACTCTTAGTGTTAAATTGTTTTTTTCCTGGATTTAATTTTAATGTCTTCAATCCTATTTAGAAGAATGTATAGGTTGGTGTATTTGGAGGTTTCTTCCTACCTTGTAATTTGATTGCATAAGGATTAAAAAAAATTATATATATTTTGTATTTCTTGAAACGTATCTGTATATTTATTAAATTTAAAAGTTAATTTTCTATTGAGGTACTTAAGGGCATACCATAAGCTACTAAAGTTACATTATTTTAGCTTTTGTAATTATTTCTTAAGCTACCAAATACCTAAGATGAATTATTTTTTCAAATTGGCTTTATTGAGTGTTAGAAATATTTTTTAAACGATAAATAAATAAAAATTGGTCATAAAAATATATATTAATACAACTAATTAATGCTCAAGAATTTTACAACTTTTTACAAAATTATTTCTCTACTCTAATTAATGCATACAAGGATTGTAAAAGATTGCAAGATAAGAAGACAATTTTTTTCATATAATTTAGTTGTATCCAAGAAAATTCATTACTATTATTAGAAATTATTGATTTTTGATATGATATTTTTTACATTGTATTTTATACATTAAACTTTCTTCTTAAAAAGAAATTTTATGTATAAATAATTTGACTTGATACAATATATATAAAGTTCATTCAATCATTACATTTATTTTCTCATGACAATGGTTTAAATAAAGTTTTACCAAATTATGTTAGATTATTTTGACCTTGCATGTAATTACGTGAAATCCTAAGTGAAGTAATGTAGTAATTTGACAAATATCATTGTTTCTTAATTGTTACTTTTATTGTTTCAGCATAATTTCTTATCATGTGTTATTTATTGTGAAATAAATATACTTGAGACATTGTTGTTTGGAAATTGCAAAAAGAAAATCTTGAAATCAATCTAAGAATAGGATTAACTTAAACAATGAGTTTTTATTAATATTTTAATTAATATCATATAATTTTTATTAAAGAATCAATTCTAAATTCTAAAACTTTAACCTTTAAATCACTAAAATTTTATTCAAGTTCATTTTCTGTTATAAAATAAGAATCATGTAATATAAATATAAATTCTACTTTCAAATATTAGTTTTCAAATAGTGATCTACTTCTTTGAAAATATTTTAGGAGCCTAAGAAGCTAGATAATCTGATTCTGGTTTAAACAATTACATAAAACATTTAGCAAGAAAATTAGAAACTTTTAAGAAAAATTATATATGTATTTAAAAGTAATCTATTGATTTTACATAGAAATTTAAGATTTTAGTGTATAAATTTTTAAAATATAAAATTCTATATTGTAAATATTAAAAAATAATTATAAAAGCCAGTTTTTTTATTATATATATATATATATATATATATATATATATATACATATTTTAAACTTAAACTAGATATAAAATCAATAATTTGGTGTTGTTTTGAATATTCTAAATCTTGTATTGGCAAAGATAAGATATTCGTTGTCTTATTTTTTGTTTTATTATTACAACTTAATTTAATAGCAGCTTTTAGAGTAGTTACTAAGATCTGTAGAATATCTTAGAATTCAAAATAACATTTTATGGAGACTACTAAATTATTTTTAATTTCCTTAAGAAATCATTAAAAATATGTAAAAAAATCATGGAAAACTTTCAAAACTATTTAGCAGTAATTAAATACTTTAAAAACCCATAAAACATTCCAAAGATTTCAAAAATATCTTCAAGAGTTTAATTTTTTAAAATTTTAATATTAATAACATCAAATTCTGATATGTTTCATAAAACTTATTCAAAGATTTGAGATTTTGCAGTTTTGTTAGAAGTAGTATCAAACTTGAGCATCCACTCAATTAGAGACATTTTAATTTTGTTAGAATTTCTAATTTATATGGTGATAGGTTTAACTTTAAGAATCCATTCAATATAATTTTCTATTTTTAAAATAAAAAATTATTTAAAAATCTTGTGAATTTCAATATATTTAATAATGATGTTAAAATTGAATTTTTTAAAATTAATTATTTTAAAAGATGTAATATTTTACAATTATTTTTTAAAATATATAAAACTTAAATATCCATTTATATAAATTTTTACCTAACATGTAATATTTCCTAATTTGTTTGCAAACAACATCAAACTTTAACATAAACTTACAAAAAATTATTCAAACTCCATCAAAGATGTATAGTTTTTTAATTAATCTTCTATTGTTTTGATAATATTTTGTAACTTCAGCATCCATATGCATAAAATACTTCAACAATGTGAGTTTTTTTAATTCTTTTAGTAATAATATCAAACTTGAACACCCACTTGTATTAGACTTCACTTAAGATGCATAATTACATTATATAAGCACTCAAGTTTTTCAATTTTCTTTAAGAACAAGTTTTGTTATGAATGTTAAGACCTTTAATTCTTCTATTAACTATGTCAAACATGTGCACAAATTCATATCAAGTTATTTGAAAGATGTAAGGTTTTTGAATGAAAACTAAAACTAAATTGTTCAAGTTACTAGTTTTAGTTTCCAATCATGTATACAACCAGATCCATTACTCGTGTTAGATAAAAACAAAATAAACTGTACAAAGGAAACAATTCACCACAAAAATGCAGCACTCAGCCACTAAATGTGTGGACATGATCAAATGGGGAGGGGCGCTCCTCGTCTCTTTCCTCTCGCCTTGTACCTAGTTTTATTATTTCTTCTGCGCTTGGGTCTTTGTCATCAATTTGGGTTTGTGACTTCGTGTGAGGTGTTGGTGGGTGACATTATTGAGCATCAGCTTGCGAATGCCAATCGTCGGTACAAAATGTGATACATGAAATATAATGAAAAAGGATACAGTGTGACCAGACACTGTGCTCAGGAATGTGCAGGCTGCAAGGGATGAGTGGATTTGTTAACTGGCCACTCCATAGTTCCTACATATCTAGTCAATCCAGGCTAAGTGTGGGGCAGGTTTCCTCCAAGTTCAGAGTTCTATACAAGAGGTTCTACATCAAAGAGCTCCTCAATTGTAGGGTTAACAATGACCTGATACTAAAGACTCACTAGAATCGCTCTCCAGCCCACTACTGGTGAAGATTTTACTGCTGTGCCTAATAAACAGCACCTTCACATATCAAATTCTTTTACAAACTTAAAAACATACTTGTGTAGGAGATGAGCAAACCTCTTCAAAATTAAATTCAAAAGATCGACGCTGCTCGGTGAATCATATGTAAATCCTGCTCAAGCGGAAGTAAATTTATCGCATGCAAGACCCTTGGGACACAAACTCGTGGCAAGATTACAGCAGGCTCTCAGCCGATGCTTCATAAGGAATGTGCCAATAAATACACTCGTCCAAATATACTACCTACAGATCGATAGAAAATTCAAAGATGACAAATTACACTAGACGATTGAAAAAAAAAAAAAAAACCAAGAACCTAAAACTACGAGGAATATGATACATAGAGTTGAAACACATATGTATACTACTCAACCTGAGCAGATAATATATGTATTCTCTACACTTGTGTCCTGTATTCTGATCCTGTTCCAAGGTACCTGAAGCAGAGATCACACACGAGAAAAGAAATTATACCAATAATATGTGGATTCGACTACTCTCATGGCTTAAAGTGAAACTAAGCTCTGCGGAAAACAAGCTTAACACACGGCAGAATGTGCTAGGATTCACCTAAAGGCGTAACAGATGCAAATAAATTTTCTAGGTATACTTCAAACTAAATATAGATTAAAATGTATACCTTGAACTGCCTTGCAGATCAGACGTTTCTTAATCCTAACCAACTAGATGAATCTCTTCAAGAGATCGCAATTAGAACTCATCCAAAAGGTGTCACCACTGGTATCACAATTACTGCGACAAATTCCACCCTGTAAGTAAATCAGTCAAACTGTTGACGCAAATGCATTTCCGTCTCACTCTTCCATGTCGCATGGGAAGATTGCCCTTTCATTCTTTTACTATGCTCCTTATCTTTTACTTTATTTCCTCTCTTATTTTTCTCCTCGGCACTAGCTACTTTTGGCCGATCATTGCATAATGGGCAAACCATGCCTTCTTTGGCCGCAGAGAAGGTCTTTGGGACTCCGCAGTTTTGACACATCCTACAACCACACCAACATATTAGGTCCAACTCAAAAAATTAAAATTAAAAAAATAAATAAAAAGCGCTGTAGTATCACTTCACAAAATTCCCATACGAACCCCGCATTCAATTTCCAAAAATTCGCACACGTAGTCACAACGCAAAACGTGCCTCCTTGAATCTAGATTTACAGAGCAACAGTGAAAATCTTTTACCGAAGAAGGTTGGCCGCGTCCTCAGCAGGAGGCAGCCCAGCTCCAGGAGCACGTTTTTTCACAGTCAGACCTGCGTTTCCAGTGTCTTGTTCCACGTTGGAAACTTGCGGCTTTGCTTCTACAACGGCCACTGCATTCACAGTCATGGTAAAGTAATTGGTTCACAACAGTGAGCCACCATCGCAATCACTTACTGTCAGATTGGACTGCAAATCAATTGAAGTTGTAGTGAACATACCGACTCCTAACAGACCAATGCACCTGGAAAAACAGCTGAGAAAATATTTGCCAGAGAAGAAGAAAAAATTAAAAAAATGTCAAGACTTACACTTTCAGCCACTCTCCAAAAATTAGCTGTAGACAAGTGGGATAATCCCCAATGTCCAGGGGATTACTAAGGACATGCAAATCCAGCACATGTCGCTAGTTCAAAAGATGAAAAAGTACCTGCAGTTGGGACATGTCGGGGCTTGGGTTCTTTAGGTGCTACATAACTTATTGAAAAATCTGTAGGGGTCATTGATGTAAGATCTCCATTTGGTCGAGTAATCATGCTATTCTTCAAAAAATCGGGAGGCCCAGTAACCTGTAGAGATCATCACAATTTATCACACCACATATTTTCAAAATAGTTTTGCAAAGAGAAGCCGCAGAAACAATAATAAGAGGCAAGGTACATGGTGCTCAAGTCTAAATAAGCTCTGCATTCCACAGATAATAGTTCTTTATTCTTGCTTGCTCTCTTGCTTCTTCATATCCCTGGTTTTATTTCTGTGTTTTCCTTTTTCTTTTTTGTCAAAGAGTATCATTGCACATAGACAACTTACTGGCTTCGGGTGTATCTCTATTAAGAAAACAGCTATACAATCGTCGAAAAAATTGCAACACTCACAACATAAGATCACATAAATGTCCATCAAAATTATCGTTGTTGTTAGTTCAAGAACGGACAACCACCTCCGTGAACATTTCAAATGCTGTTGGCAAGTCCGATGTGCGAGGTGGTGGCTTGATTTTCTGCAACTTGCTTGGTTTAGCTGAAGGAGTTTCCTTTTCTTCAAACCCATCATCGGGGTACTCCTCGTCACTCTCAGTAAAATAATCACGGGGATCTTCCTCTTCTGGGGATTCATATCCTTGCACTAATGATAAACTCATCTGAATCAACAAGGAAAAAGAATATTCAATGTGAGAGACATAAGCACGTGATCCAACATACGAGTAAACTTGCCACATCAAATAAACCTCATATTAACTTTAGAATGTAAAAATACAATGACAAAGAGAGGAACGGAACCTAGTGGAACTTAAACAAGTGCTGATCAGATGAGAAATCCTGAGAAGCAAATATATCTTAGCAACGCATTCTTCCATCAAGGTAGAAAATTTCCAAAAGAAAGTAAAGACGGATAGTTCTGAAAGCCCTAAACCCTAGGTCTCCTGCTACTGAATTAAACAATGTACCTTTCCATCCTCTCTCCTACCTTTCATCAACAATAAAGAATCCAACGTAAAATTACATCCATTATGCACAATTTAGGGTACACGTCACAAAATTATTCTGGTTTGTAAAGCAACTCCCAAGACGTTCTGAAGCTACAATGACACTGATGAAGCTACAAAGGATAGACACAAATTCAGCGCATATGTCTACACATTCACAGAAGCAGGACTACTATCAATCCAAATTTCGTGTAAAGAGATTTGGAATACATTCGGCACTAACTGCGTCTTTTCTCTGTTAGCGCGCAGCCGAACCTCTCACATGTAATAGACAAGAAGAACTAAGAGAAAACACGGAGGACATGTCACGTAGCAGGATACAACATATCGGATACGACAATATAAGTACTCTACAAAATGAACTAGTTGCAGAAGGTGTTTTTTACAAAGACATTGAACATTCACAGCAGATACTGAAACCCTAATCCCGTGGCACAGCGACTGACTCGAGAAAAAATAAGAAAGTAGGAGCTCAAGACACTCACCTTCAAAAAACCGATACCAGTTCAGCTTCGGTGGTCGCAAGTCGGTCGGTGGTGTTCACTAAAAGCTTCAAAACGTGAAATAAGCTCGCGTTGCAGCGGAGGCGCCACGCCTGGCGTCGCTGAAGCTCTGAGGACGAGGATGCGCAAATGAAGAAGTCGAAGTTCCCACTATGCGAACTCCAGTACCCATATTCTGTTCCCCTTGATTTCGCCGCTGGACGAACGAACGAAAATAGCATCGGATGAGAAGTCGGCCACGATTTTTTCTGGAATTCGTCTTTCATTTTGAGTGTAGGCTTTGGAATACTCCTCTTCAACAACGCCAAATATTGAACATGGAATGGTTTTTAAATTATCACATAATTCGTTTTGATTAATTATATTCCGAAATACATATAAACAAGCCAGCCTTGACAGTAGAATATATTTGTTTCTAGAATAATATCTGTGTTATTATAAATTTTAACTTTTATCCTTTTTAAAATTGCATATTTTATTAATATAAATATTTTGAAAAATGAAATAAAAAAACTCTTGTAACTTGACATATCTTTTCAATCACCAAATAAATTGATTCAGACTGTATTTCTTTTGTCCAAAGTCTTAACACATTATAAAATGATATCTAAGTAGACCAAAATTTTAGATTTTTTTTAAAGTGATGCTATATTTTTTAAAGTACTGATTTTTCTACAAAAAAACTTTTGACCCTTTTTTAAAAAACTTAATTTTTATTCATTACAGATAATTTCTTTTTCAATATTTTAAAATATTATTTATTTTTACAAAAGATATATATAATGTTTTCAGTTATATCTTTACACATATTATAAGTTTTTTTTATCATCCTTTTTGAATTTCAAGCTGTTAATTTTATTAAAAAAAAAAAAAAGGTATTATGACATCAAAGAATGAATATATATATATATATATATATATATATATATATATGAAATTTCTTTTATATTTCTGAATCTAAATTATATAAAAATGTTAAAAATAAACTTAATTTTTACAAAAAAAAGAAAAAAGAAAAAAAACCTAAAACATAAAATCTAAAACTCTATAATAGTTGGACAAGCATGATTTCTAAAAACTTCATTTTAATAGAACAAGTTATAAATCCATCAATATCTATAAATTATATTTATTTTTAAAATATTTTAAAATATTTAATTAGTAATTTTTAAATTAGAAAAATATTTAAATATAAATAATTAGTAAATAATCTAAATAATAATCTTTAATTAAAATTTTTATATACACATTTTTTCAAAATAAACTAAAGCATGTTGTCTTTTAAAATAATTTAAAAAAAAAAAAAAAAAAAAAAAAATGTGAAGAGACATCTATATTTTCTATTTCTATGAAAAAATAGAATTTTTTAAAAGACTTTTATTACACAATTCCTCCCAAAAAATAATTTTAAGGCTTTATAAATCTCTAGTTGTAGAAAGATTGTTCCAAAAATAATGCTAAATCTTCTAAAAATTAATTAATTAGTTCTAGCTAAGATTTTTTGAAAAAAATACTTTTTTTGGATTTTTTCTTTAATTTATTAGTTTCATAGGGATTTGCATTCTTATGTATTGACTTGTGTGCAATTAGAAGTTCTCGTTGTAGGAATATGGATTTTTCTTGTATTGCTTCATTGTCTTTGTAATTTGATTCTTGTTCAAGAGATTTTTCAATGATAAGACTATGAATCAACCTTCAACGCCCTTTTAAGGCAAATTTGAGAATGGAAGTCTTTGTGAATCATATTCAGCAAGTACTTCACATGTTCAACATCTTGTTTCTTCTTTGATTAAGTCAATGCTCCTCGTCCTACTTCTCAAGTTGAGACTGAAAGTTGTACCTCTTTTGATCCATTTCAATATATGCAATCAGAGTCACATTTTTGGAAGATGAAATATAATTATGCTTGTTTTCGAAGAAAACATTGTGGTAATGCTAATAAGTAGTGGAATAATAAATTGAGCAAGGTAAAAACTAAAACTCTTGATTTTACGCATAAAGTTGTTAGGAAGAGACTATAGATTGATAGTTCTTCTATACTAGAATGGGTTAGAACTAAGTTTCTCTCATTTTTAAAAAATATTTTTTTTGTATGCCAAGGATTATGTTAATCTCTGAAAGCTAGGATTTGTGAGTGGCTTAGTAAGTAAATCAACATTTTTTTGAGAAGTAGAAACAAAGTTCACTTGAATGTTTTTATTTTTTTTTGGCATGTACAACTAAATTGTATACCAAAAAATATGCAACTCTAATTGCTGATCAATATTTGCGATGGTTTGTTTTTAATGATTTGTAACTCTCAAAGCAAGCGTTGTTGATATATTACATTGCAAGCAACATCACATAATACTTTGTATTCAGCTTCTATTATGTTGAAAGCTACTATTGATTGATATTTTGAGTTCCAATCAATCAAAACATCTCCAAGTTCGGACACCACTCCAAAAATAAATCTTTTGTTATCCAAACATCTTCTATAGTTGGCATTAAAAAATCTTGAGAGTTCTATTTCTTCATCATTAGAATAGAACAAGGTGTAGTCTAAAGTTTCAGCTAAATACTACAAAATAAATTTGGTTGCAATGAAGTGAGATTTCTATAGAACAATAATGAATTTATTGATGTATCCTATATTATAAAAAATTGTCCTGGACATACACATATAAATCAATAACTACTTATATGATTTAGATAATAATAGGTAAAAGTAGTTTAATTCCATGATATCTTCTAAAGAAGCTTCCTAAAAGCTTCATAGATGGTGCTTTGACTTTATAAGTACCTTTAATTGATTTTTTAGGTTAAAAACATCGTCAACAAGTTGGCCATGTGCCACACATGTTGATAGCTTGAAGAACAAGCTAATTATATGCCCCACACATAAAAACTTGCCTTGTAAGCTAAAGCATGTGTCTTGCAAAGTCAAGACATATTAAAGGTCCTATACAACATCACGATGTAGCTCCTAGTTAGATAGTATATATAGAGGCAAGAGTGAAGCCTTCTTCACTCTTGTCAACTCCTTTCTTGCTTCTAGTCAAGATTCAAGAGTCTCAAGTTTTCTTGTCTTTTGGCAATAAGCCATTCCATTTCTTTTTAATATATATACTTCTTTATTTCTATTTTGTCACTTTTTCTTTGATACGGATTTCATTGATTTATACATCATCTTTCAATTCATGTCCTTGACAATAATATTAATTCTTGTGATTGTAGTATAGATCAAACATATAATTATTTGTCTACTAATTTATTTTTCATGTTTATTTTGAGTTTGTTGTTTACACACATTAGAATAGATGCAAGTTTATAGTTTTCTATCCAAAATCTTTAAAATAGTAATATAATGTGTCTTTTGTAGTGAAGTTATAGTGTGAAACTTGTATATTCTATTTCACTACTAAAGTAGAGTGTTGCATTATCCAATTTTGTCATCTTAAAGGTGTTTAATAAGTATCAAGACATTCCATTGACTTTTTTTGGATTGTTCCTAATTATCAAAAAATCAACTATATATTAGAGAATAATAGTGTATATTTTGTTGAGTATTAAGTAGTATAAATTAGGATTAGCTGAGCTTTCTATTAATCTACATAAAAGAAAAAAATAACTAATTTGTGAGTACCAAGCTTGGCCAGCTTGCTTCAATTCAAAAAAAACTTGAACAAATTTAACTAATGTATTAATATTTCTTTCGTTATCAAATCTAGATGAAACATGAATGTAGATATATTCAATTAGTAATTTATTTAAAAATATTTTTATTACATCAAATTGACAAATACTCTATCTTTTTTAAGCTATTAATTTAAAAATAACTATGATTGTAGTCCAAAGTATCATAGATGCAAATGTATTGAAGAAGTCTTTTTCTATCTTTTGTTAATAATGTAATACAACTATTTTTTTTTAATTGGTTGTCTATATTTTTTATTTTCTTTATATTTTAAAGATCTATTTGGCTTGAATGGTTTTTTTGTATAAAAAAAGATTTTATATTATCTAAGATTTTTTTTTCTTTCTCTTTAAAGAAGTATTTTTTTGATTACATTAACATATTCTATTTGAGATCTAAAATTGTTTTTTTTCTAGTTGATAGATTCTTCATCTACTTTGGTAATCAATGCATAGTAGTCTTGGATTTACTTAGAGATCTTTAATTTTGAGTTGGTCTTGGATTTGATGTTGAATATTTAATATTCAAGCTTTTCTTTTCCATTTTTTTTTGCACAACTTAACCATTTGTATTTGATTTTGATGAATTTATGATATTAAGATTTTTTAGCAAGATATTCTATTTGAAGTTGATGTATTGTGTTGATTGGTTTGTGTTTGTAAATTCCAATGTTGGTTCTATTATATGTAACAACAATTCAAGAGCTTCATCTTGTAATTAGATTGGATTATTTTCGACAAGAAAATTTGATTTTTTAGTCTTATGGAGAAGAAATGTTAGGTCCTTTTGGTATCTTAATTAAAGGTGAGTCATTTCTAATTTTTATTTTTATCAAATCAAATTTTTATTTTTATAATTTTATTTTTAAGCAAATCAAATAGTTTTTAAGCTTTACTATTAGAATTATAATCTATAAAGAGACATTTGGAAGTCTTTAATTTTAGTTTATTTGTTCTTATTTTGGAATATGTAGAATGGCAAGGTAATTTTAAAAGATTTTTTAAAAAAACTTATATTAGATTTTTTATTTTTATATTTTTTTTAAGTATAATTCTATAATTTACCATTATTGGGCTTTGATTGATGAAAAAATTGGTAGTATCTACGGCCTCACTCCATAAGTATCTAAGTAGCTTGCATCTTTATATCATACTTCTTGCTTATTTAATCATGCTATGATTTTTTCTTTTAGACACTCCATTTTGTTCTAAAATAAGAATTTAAATTAATTATCTTTAAATTTTATATTTTTATAATAATTCTTGAATTTATTAGACATAAATTCTCTTCTTTGATTTATCTTTATTAGGCACATCATACTTATTATTTCTCATTTAGTAAATTCTTTGAGTATTTTTAATTTTTCAAATGATTTTGAGCTTATTAGTAAGAATAATACTTAAGATTTTTTAGAGAAATTGTCTATGAATACTATCTAGTATTGTGAATCTTATAAGGACAATATAGAGAGTGGACCAACAAGGTCAAAATGTATTAATTCTAAGATCCTAATAGCTTCATAAATTGAGCTTTTCAGGAATCTTTCTCTATGTTATTTTCTAGCTAAAAACTCTTCACATATGTCTTTTAGTGGTTCTAATCTTCACAATTCTTATTCTCTATCTTCTCTTAACAATTAACTTTGACTCATATAATTTACGTGCCTAAAATATTAGTATCACAATGTTATTGATTCATTAATTTTTATAAAATCTATGAAAAGATTCATAGTATGAATCTTATAAAGTCCATTGAAAGGATTGCGCTCTTATAGCCATAGCTTTTTTTTTATATCATTATTCAATATCCAACAATTTCCATTAAAAAACTTGATCATATATTATGAATTGGTAAAATAATCAAATGAGATCAAATTTCATATCAAATTACATATAAAAAAGATTTAGATAAGATTTATACTAATACTTTGACTTATGAGTATTATATTGTGCCACTAATAGTAATTCAATGAAAATAAAACAATATCAAATTCTCTAAGATCTAAAACCTTACAAAATCCATAAAAACAAAGATCTCAATACAACGTAAGACCAAGCACACCAGAATAAAACTGAAAGTAACTAATAGAATGGAACATAAAAGACAAGACTGAGTAAAAGAGAATAAAACCAAACAAGACCAAACAAAACCAAATAGAATGGAACGAGAAAACCAGACTTTATTGAAAGAAAGAGTTTGAAGCCATATCTAACTGAATGCTCAAATAGCCTCAATCACTCCTATTTACACTTTGTTCAACTATCCTTGGAACTTTCAAGAATGTCTCTAATAATAGGCCCCACCAAGATAATTGGCCATTTAGAAGACTCTAGAAGTAGATCCTATCATGATAAATATCTAAGCTTTTGTAAAAGGTTCTATAGTGGGTCTTACATGAACCACCACCCTAACCTCAATTCTACAAACGTCCCAAAAATAACTCCAATTACATATTTTTATATGCAAATAATATAAATATCTTATCCATGCCTTGTTATAGAGATTTTCTACCTATAGTTTGTATGTTTCTTCTTACATTTGATTATAAATTTTCTAATTTATTCTGATTACTATTTACATGATAATCTAACAAAACTACTCTCAAAAGTGCAAGCTTATCTTGATACCAATCTCTATAGTGAGCTGGAAAGATTTGGATCTTTTAATAGCTATTGTATGTGTATAGACTAATTTAGCACAAATCCTCACATAATCTTTTATTAAAACTTGACAACCTTTAATCTATGTTGTCAATGGCTTCTTGAATTCATATCTGGTTTCTAAATCCTAATGGCTGTCATTTAAGCTTCAGTGATTATAGTTGTATTGCCAATGTTACTTTAATGATCTCCATGCATGAGAATAGCAGTTTTCTTAGGACATTGTGGATTGTTTCAAATGCTTTTGACAATTGGCTAAGAGATAAGAACATGAAGCATGACCTTATAAACTTGAAATAATAACAAACCTTATTTTTAGAGCCAATAAATCTAAATTTTGTGCATCCAATCTATAAAGGGCCAAAAACTTATAAGGACAAAGTAGCTTTCTTACCTAAGATTAATAGATATGTAAAATATAATTACCAATTTTTTAAAATCTTAAAATGTGATCAAACATTAATATAGTTTAATATAAAAAAAATCTTATCATAGATTAAGAAGGTACAAAGATAATAATCTCAATAAGGATAATTCTATTTCTCTATTTTTCTATCTAATCTCATTGTCATCTTTAAATCTTATTATTTTTTTAGATATTAAAGTTATGTTCTATTTGTAAAAATAAAAAAATAATAAAAATAAAATAAAATAAAAAAATCTTTAATTTTTGGTTGTTTTGATATTCTAATTTTTATTGATTATCAACAGATTTTGTTGTAGCTTAAGCTACATATCTAAATCATTTTTGTCACATGTGCATGATTTTACATATCTTTTGGTAGTATATTTATATTTTTTTAGTTTTATATTTTTTATGTATTAAGATTTTAATGTAAAGACCATATAATAATATAAGTGTTCATATTTAAAAGATAGTTTTGTAAAAAATATTTTTTCTCTTTATATTGCTCTTTGTAGTCTCCAACTATAACAACTAAGAATCATTTTATATATAAGTAATGATTTCTAGCTCTATACTTTTCTTTCTTGATTTTATTCATAAAATCTATTAAGAATTTAAATTTGGAACATAAAATATGCACAACTAATATTTAAAAGAAATATCAAAGTGGATTTGGACCATTTATATATTTACTATCACACCTCCTTATTAAATTATTGGAAGAAGCATTGTCACCTTTATTGATAAAATTTAATCTATGTGTTAGATCAATAAAATTGTTATCTTTTCCATTAAAAGTATTTGTACTATAAATAGATTGATTTACTTAAGCTAAATATTTTATTTTTAATTAATTAAATGATTGTTAATTTAAATAAAGAACATAAAATTAGGATCTCAATTCAAAATATTTCTAAGCCAAGAAATAGAATTAGATGGTGAAAGCACTTTAAAAATAGATGATTTTCTTGCAATTAAAAAACTACATAGAGATTTGCATCAAATATAAAGATATGAATTCTAATTCATTTATTTGGTATTGATAACTATAGACTAGCATCTAGTATTTTATACCATCTTGGGATAAAAATGCCTTTTGAAATATTCTTTAAATTCTTTGTCAAATTCTTTTAATAAAATTTTAATTTTATATATTTTAATTTAGTAGTGATTTTGAAAATATTTGTTTTTAATTTTTTTTTTACAAAAATACTAGTTTCTTTATGAATAATCATATTATTGGGCTTTACAACAATTTAGTAGAGTTTATGAACCAAATGTGTCAATTAAAAGCTAATTTAATAATCGAAACTGAATTTTTGACAATTTCTATATATACATACATATACAATGATATAATATAATATAACCATTATTAGTATATGTTATTAAATTAATCTAATATCTTACTACCATCATGATTAAATTATTAATTGATGATTATGTAAAATTAAATCTTAATTATTTACTACAATTTGGTGATATAGACAACCATATATATTTGATTTTGTTTCATATTAGTATAACAATGATTATTAAGAATGTATAGCTATTGATAAAGCATCATGTAATAATAATGCCTATTATAATTTTTACTATAATAAACATGTAAACAAAATGAATATTTATTAACATAAGTTGCATAATTTGCTTTTTATATGGCAATGTAACAAATTGTATTTACTTACAGCTTACATGAAAGATGCAATACTTATTTGCATACTTTTCAATGCAAAATTTAAATACAAATTACAATGTATTAAAACAATAATGTCAGAAAGCCTAATTCTATTAAAATATGTAATGTGTAATTTGTGTAGTTGTATAATACTTTTGAAAAGATGAGTTTTAAACCAAGGTTTAAATCTCTATTTTATGTCTACAAAAAAATATATATGAAATATGAAATATTTTATAATTTAGAGTATTTGAGTATAATTAATAGTTTTGATCCATCTTATATTAAGTATCTAAAAAAATGAAACTATTTATATATACAAAGAATATTAATATTCATGCAAATCATAACTTCATTATGTATTTAGAATAGGATAATATCAAATCCTTATAATAACCACAACAAAAATTCAAAACAAACAAACACCTTTTGTAAAAATGAATTACTCTTTTATAAGATGTTGTCACATTAAATATTTTGCTAACTGATGTAGAAGTTAGTTTTTAACCATACTCGTTTTGGATTAACTTAGGAATTGTGAGTGGTATGTTCATTATTTTTCCAGAATTCAGAAGTGGAAAAGGGAATGCTTTACTGAAGGTAGTGAATAAAAATCAGGTTTATCTTTAACAGCACAATCAACAATCAAATTCGTCCACAGAAATTTGAAGAGCAATAATTACTTCATTGACGTAGTAAGATGCTTTGAGTGGTGGATAGATTGTTCATAATTGTGAAAAAACCCTATTTCTCATAACTTTCTGTTTCACCTTCTGAGACTATGACAATATTGTCAACTAGTTTTCTTCCTCAATTGGTGTATGGTGTACTTCATTCGACACCAATTGTTGAATGTATTTCCATGTTAAGAAACGCACTGACAGCTCCCGTTTGCAGATGCCGACGCAGAGTGCACACAATTATACAGTTAGTGTGCCATTGAAAAGATGACTAGAAAATTAGTTAAGATGGTATTTTCCACATGTTTAAGCGTGCGCACCTGTTTGGTGAACAGCAGTATACTATCTGTTTAGGAATAGATTCATGGTGTAGGTTTGAAGAAGCTAGGATTGATGTATCACTACAACAATCGTGTGCAATTTCTTTTTCTCCCTTCCATGTAGAAAACGTTACATGTGAAAGTGCAGCAGTAGCATTTGACAATGTCAACACTTCAACAGTAATTCCGTATTATCTTATTAACATGTGTACGGTTTACGACGACAGGACACCATTCCACATTTTATTTCACTACAAAATCATCACCTATCCCGCAGTGTTTTTTCAAGTCATTAGCTGGTCTCGGACATACTCAGTTAAGAACTACCAATGTATTTTAATTGTTAGAAGTATAGCGACTGTTAAAGCATAAATGTTGCACTCAAGAGGTAGTATTCTTTTAATAGTACCCCTTCAAAAAATATTCCGTTCCGGGAGCAAGTTTATGTACTTGCTCTTCAAGTTTTTAATTTAGTGGCAATCTAAGTAAATCTCTTCAGTGAATGAACAAGACTTCCCGAATATTAATCAGTGTTCCAGAAGATGAATCAGCAGAGCGATACAAAATGGATGGGTAACACCCCAACAACTCTGGACGTATACCACCCGTCACCATGCGAAATCCTAGAAAATGGCAAGGTTCTAAATATATAATCGAAGGACAAGACCAAAACAACTACGTTTCAGGCATGCGTAGTACTCTTCTAGAATACTTTCACTTCGCCAGCTCGGCACGCAATTGCTTGGCGGCGTTCACCATGTTTGTCAAGGCTGGCACCACTTCACCGTATTTCCTGGTCTTCAAACCGCAGTCGGGGTTGATCCATAAAACCTTCGATTCCAATACAGCCAACATCTGCAATGGCAATTGTCACTATTAGTGCACGCAACCAGCAAACAGTCCAACGAAGAGGGAGCATAATGCCGAATAACCCAATGTCACATCAAACGCCACACTCGGAACACAGATTTCCACTCGGTGCCTACAAGATTAAGACAATATATCACCTTGCGGGCGCGGTCGGCCATCTCTTCTGTCGGTGGGATTCTAGGAGAGTGAATGTCATATACACCAGGACCAATTCCAGCTCCGTAGTGCACACCCTCACGGAACACGCTCAACAACTTCTCGTCTGAACGGGAGTTCTCAATTGTGATAACGTCGGCGTCCATGTCAATGATACTGTGGATAATGTCGTTGAAATTCGAGTAGCACATGTGCGTGTGGATCTGGGTGGTGTCCTTAACGCCACAGGTGGTGATTCTGAACCCGTGCACTGCCCACCTCAAGTAATCTGCGTGCTCGGACTTACGCAGGGGCAGACCCTCACGAAGTGCTGCCTCATCAATCTGGATCACCGTGATATTAGCCTTTTCCAGGTCCTCCACCTCGTCCTTGATCGCCAGCGAAATCTGATAGCAAGTCTCCGACCTGGGCTGGTCATTCCTCACGAACGACCAGTTCAAGATCGTCACTGGTCCTGTCAACATACCCTTCATTGGCCTCTTGGTCACGCTCTGTGCGTACGAAGACCAGTACACTGTCATGGCCTTCGGTCGGCTCACGTCACCGAAGATGATTGGAGGCTTCACGCAACGAGATCCGTAAGACTGTACCCATCCGTTCGCTGAGAAGCAGAAGCCATCCAGCTGCTCACCAAAATACTCCACCATGTCATTCCTCTCGGGCTCACCGTGCACCAGCACATCGATGTCCAGCTCCTCCTGTAGCTTCACCACACTGTCGATTTCAGCCTTTATGGCCTTGTCATAGTCTTCCTCCGAGATCTTCTTGCTCTTCACCTCACGCCTCACTCTACGAAGCTCAGGAGTCTGAGGGAACGAACCAATGGTCGTAGTGGGCAAAATTGGCAAGTTCAAGTACTTTTGTTGCTCCTCCAGACGGGTAGACACGGGGGTCGCACGACGGTGCTCGGATCCTGCCAACCCAGCAGCCTGCATTGCAATCCCACGGTTCAGTCTCATTGGAAGTACCAGTAAGTGTGTTTGCAGTCGAACTGCGCCTACTGCAAACTATTTTCATCGTATTGCGCTAGTTAACTTTAAACCAGAAATTCGCACTTACAAGTTCCTTCACTGCCTTGTTGTGGACGCGGGGAGAGTTTCTCCTTGAGGCTTGGGCCGCTGCGTTGGCCGCGAAGTACTCCTCGTCCTTGTTTCCGGACACGGCATTCGCAATTGCCACTACCTCAACCAACTTCTGGGCGGCAAATGCCATCCAAGACTTTAACTCATTGTCCAACTTCGTCTCATTCTTCAGATCTACGGCGGAGTGGAGGAGGGAGCAGGAGGTCGAAACAACCACATTATCCTTTCCAAGACTCGCCTGCAACTCTTTAACAGTATTTACCGAAGCAGCCAAGTCGTTCGCCCATATGTTACGTCCATCCACAACTCCGGCAAACAAAGTCTTCCCAGTAGGAAGTGCGTGTTCCTTGATCACGGCCAAAGTCTTCGAGCCACGGACAAGATCAACTCCGAAACCGGCAATGGGCAAGTCACACAAGGTCCTGCTCACAAACACGTTTAACCATTCTAGTAAGGCACCGCCACGAAATATACTAACTCCAACCAACTGGCAATAGTCTCAATCACTGTCCATCTCGAAATCCCCTTACTTGTAAGCCTCCACAGGCAAGTCCGTGAAGTAAGTCTCCACCAACAGCTTGACCCCGGATACTTCTGAAAGTACAGCGTAAGCCTTCTTGAAGGCCTCGTACTGAGCGGATTCCAAGTCCATCACCAACTTGGGCTCATCCAGCTGGATCCAAGATGCACCAGCTCCCTTAAGCTCGGTGATGGCCTCCCTGCAATGAGGGCACCCACCCATAAGTTAAGATCACAACGAGCATGTCCCTCAATCATACGCCGAGGTCACTGACCAGTAACAGATGGGAAGTAACTCACGGAAAACAATCAGTCAAATTGGTTAGAACTGATCGAGCACGTACTTGTAAACGGGGAGAATGGCGTCTAAAAGAGACAAAGTGTTGAATCCCTTAGGTGCGCTCTTGTCACCCTTAGACAACAGCAGATAGGTGACTGGACCAACCAGCACTGGCACGGTGTCAATACCCAGCGCCTTGGCTTCGTTGTACTCGCTCACAGCCTTTCGAGAAGAATATACGAACTTCGTCTCACCACTCAACTCTGGCACAATGTAGTGGCTGCAAGTATTCAGGTTCATTTCAGGTCAATCAGCTTAGTCTGGAAGATGAAAACTCCTGCACTTCACAATAATACACAGAAGAGAAAAGGTGCTATAGAAAGGCACACTCACTAGTTGGTGTCGAACCACTTCGTCATCTCCATGGCAGGCTTAGTCTTGTTTCCGCGAGCCATCGAGAAGTACACATCGTGCCCGATCTCTCCACCGGTCCACTCGTAACGGGAGGGCACAGCTCCGACCATAGCAGTGGTGTCCAAGACCTGGTCATAGTAGGAGAATGTGTTACTCGGGATCATGCTCACTCCAGCCTCGGACATCTGCTTCCAGATCGAAGCACGCAAGTCCTTGGCAACCTGCTCCAGATCGGCAGCCTGGGTCTTGCCATCCCACATCGACTCTAGAGCGAACTTGAGCTCCCTCTTGGGGCCCATACGGGGGTATCCAACCACGTGGGAAGCCATCGTTTCTGCTGCAGAAACGAATACACAGGAAGATATCTGATGAGTAAATAGTTTAGTATCCGCACCATCAATGCATCACAAGAAAATTCTGGACAAGCGTGTCCGTCAACAAATCTCGACACGTTTCAGTGTGGATCCCAAAAGCAACAAAGAAGCGCATCTCACAACAATCAAATAAATAAATCAAAATAGATTTCCAGAGAGACTAATATCGAACTCTACGCTTGCTCCAATGTCCGTGAAACCAGGAAATGAGGACGAGAAAACTACCACTCCAAGGACATGTCCCCATTGTCATCTTAGGCAACCCACGTACCCAAACAACGTCTAAAACCCAGAACCACGCCAGATCTAAGATAAACTCAATTCCATTACGCAGATAAACACAACGCACTACACCAAAAGTAACAACCCAAGATCTACAGCAAAATCTTGCAACAACCCACAGCATGTCTTCGTTGGAACTGACAACGTGTCCTATTTCTAGCACAAAGCCACCAGTGCGATATCCATAACCCAAAACTTGACTATGGCAGCAAACAGCTCGAAAGAAAGACTAAACGGCTGAGCATCGTGGCACATTGAACCATGCATGGCACGTAAGCCCCCAACAGTGAGCGCAGAGATGACCACGCTACGTACCTGAAGACTGAAGAGACGCCCTGTCCTGAGTAAACAGGCCTGAAGCTCGACAACGTCCTCTCCAAAACGTAGCGGAGAGAGGGGATGAGGAGCGAGAGATAGAAGGGCGACGGCAGGTGCAAGGCTCTTAAAGGCCAAACAGGGATCCTTCGACCTGTCCTTGTTACTATTCTCTCCTTTTTCCTACCAATGCCACTCACTAATCCATGCTTAATCAAGCCACTGCCCAATGTGGACCTCGACCTACTGGCCGTTTCATTTTTTCTATGTGGTTTCAACTATTCCTTCACCCACAAGCCGCTCTGACAGCATCTCAGGTTGGAAATAGGAAGCGGAAGTGGTCGCCTCTTCGCCTTCCCCGAGGAGTTGCATCCAGGCCCTCACATCCACACATAAAAATAAAAATAAAATACAGAAAATTGTTGCTTCCTCTTAATTTCCTTGATTTTGATTTTATCGTTAATTTTATCTTATGACTTGTAAAAGTTGAAAACTGATACGTGATAGAACTCCAGCAATACATTTAATGTTATTTAAGTAAATTGTCTATTTTTTTACCTATAATTTCATTGCTCAGATAAACTAATTTATCGTTGGAATCTATAGATCCGCTTCTAACATAATGCCTAAGCGTTTATTTATGTACTTTTCTGTTCGCATGTTCATAGACGTAAGTAGCGACTATTACATTCTCTGCGAAAATATTTCTGGAAGACGAAGGAAAAAAAACAAAACAAAACAAAACTTAGACCTACAGATTCCAGTTCCGTTGGAAGACTCAAGGACAGCTGGTTGAGGTTCGGAAGGGGAAGGAATCTTGCGGAATCACAACGCCACTAGTAGTTCCGATCGCCACACTGCATGTGCACTCGAAGAAAAGCAAGCCATAGCCAGGTACCCCTATCCTTCGGACTAGTCACGAATCTTCGGAAGGCAAACAAATGGGCCCAATGGGATGGCTAGATTCGATGCGATGGCATCACTGAAGAACATGTGAGCTGCTTTGCTGTGGTACTGATTATTTGTTATGGCAGGGCCGATAAGGCCCTCACCAGCCAAATCACGCATTCCTTCTTGTCAGGTCTCCCCCATCATCACCTTTGCAATGATTCTCAGCACCTCCATCAAACTCGCAGAGAAGTAATGGAGTTGTCCTTCCAGCGTCACGTAACCCACGAATGATTTTGGTCTGGGGAGCCTGCCCACATTCTGCACTGCTGCTTGAAGCCAGGGACGGCCATTGCCACTGACGATGAGTAGTGCTGCTTCAAAAACACGTTACCAAAAGCTCATGCCCCTCCACTTCCAGGGGTCGGTACACAACCAAACCCTGGTAGACCACGGCTTCCTGGACTTGGACCGAGACCTCGATCCACACCTTCCTTCAGGAGTGCAAGCTCGCGACCTAGAGCAACAGATGCTATAGATAGCTGGCGAGCTGGTACAGAATTCTCGAAGTGGGGTTTCTACCTGGGGGCTAGAGTGGTGGAAAAATAGCAGTGGGGACAAATTAGGGACGCGGAGTGTAATATTGGGAGGCTCCAGGTGGGAGGCCAGAGCACAGCCGAGATTGCGCGAGCTCGCACTGTGCGATCATTACTGTGCCGTGCTCGTGCGCAGGTGCCCAGCAACATCACCGGCGCCACGCGGGTGCAGTCCTGAGAACCTGAGCCCCCATGGATAGGAGCACCTGAGATTTTCCTAGAGCTCTCTTTCGAAGCCTGAGCTGGCGAGCTCGTCGCGCCGTAGCGCAGATCCCAGGTGACCAAAACATCCGTCGCAACGCCGCGCGTGTCCGACGCCGGTGCCCGGTTCTCGTCAGTAGCGACGTTTTTGGGTCCACAAGGTTCAGGGGTGAAGGATTTGCATGATATCACACCAGTTCATATATATATATATATATATATATACATATATAATTACCTATGTACATATACACACACAGACCTAACCAAGATTGGTCGAAGATGGAAATTTTATACACATAGAGAGAGGTACCTATCCAAATATCTTGGAGATTTTATAAATTATATGAGGTTTTATTACTTATGTAGAATCATATAATTTTACAATTTGTTATCATCTTCTTTCCACCAAACTGTCCTCTTCTTTTTATCCTATCATTGCTTGTGTCATGATTTAAAAAATTGTAAACATAATGAGGGTTAAAGAAAATTAGTACCAGCATTAGTGAAAATTAGTGGAAAAGTTGTATTGCAGAATGATTAAGGTCATGACCATTATTGTCTTGATGTTGGTCATTTAATGGTTAAATGGTAGGCATTCATGTGTATTGTGTCTACCTTAAGTATACAATGAGATTGATATTAGTGTAATATTGTTTTAGTTCGTGTATTTGTTTACATTAGTAGAGGACATGCCATTTGATTGATAACCATGAAGGTTTGGTAGTAAGGGATTACAATAAGGATAAGACAGATTGTATGTGGTGACTTTTCACTTTTAAGATAACTATAAGTCTTTTTGGAGACAACTAGGAATCATCTTGGAGACAACTAGGAGACATCTTGAAGACAATTGGAAGTCATCTTGGAGACATCTTAGTGATATTTTTGAAGTGTTGAGATGACTTAAGGGAGTAATGAGAGTCATAAAATAGGGGTTGTTGTATCATTTGTTTTAGTTATTAAAAAAAGGCAAATTTTCAATCTTAGCTTGGGATCTATTGTGATTGATTGGAATCTTTGATTAAAACAATCTTTTAGGATTTTTTTTAGGACAAGTGTATCCAAGTGTATCCATGTGTGCACAAAGTTTGAGGGCAAAAATTAACTAAGTCAAGAAGAAACAACATAATAAAGCAAAGAAGGTCCAACAAGTTTATAAGTCAATGGCACCAACTTTGATGGGTCAAAATTTGGTGTCTACTAAAGTAATGGTTATGAAAATTAAATTATAGTTGTATTAGTAAGTCAAAAATACAATCATAAAGTTTCAAGATATTATAACCTTTGATTTAAGAGATTTTCATAAAAGAATAACAAGGTGTAGGAATGTGAAAAAATAATAGTAACCACAAAGTTAATACATGATTTTTTTTTTCTATTAATGATTTAAGTTATTAAAAACTTTAAAAATTATAAAATAAAGATGAGATAAATTATATCATCTATTACAAAAAATTTCAAATCATTTCAATGTTTTTACATTTAATTATACAAATTCAAAGTGAAGATGGTCATATTAAGTATAAGTGAGAGATTTGGATGATAATTTAGTACAAAAAAATACAAAGGAAAAGATAGAAACTAACTAAAATATGCATAAGAAATAAAGATCTTTACAACAAGAAGGTTTGTATTTTTTTAGACCAACAACAAACTTCTTGACATATTCACATCAAGTTCACCAAAAATATGTCAACAAGTTTATTGTTGGTCCAAGAAAGCACAAAGCTTCTTGTTGTGAAGATCTTTATTTCTAATATATTTAGTTTCTATCCTCCTCTTTCTACTTGTTTGTATTAAATTATCACCCAAATCCTTTACTTGTATTTAATATGACCTACTTCATCTTGAACTTGAATAATTTAAATTTTATTGATTAGAATATACATGAAAAGTGGTGATAGCTAAGGTAGATGGTGGTGGTGATATTTATGAAGAATTTGATATAGGCAACAATGAAAATAATGAAAATTGTTTTGCCAATTCAAAATGGTGGTTATTCTTAAATAAAAAAATTAATATATCCAATCTAGATAGTTTAGTAGTTTTTTTTGATGATTTTTAGAATATTATTTAAGAAATATACATCTTCAGAAATCATGACTTATTTTCAAATAGGATTGTAATGCTTATATATCTTAACACGTTTCTTGAGACTAAGATGGATATACAATAAGTCTCTAGAATAATTTATTCTTTTATAGAATTGACTAATGAACATATATTATTATGCCAAAAATACAATGTTTAGATATATCTAATTTTTTCTTTGTAAAATAAGTTTTTTTTGGAAATAGTTTAGAGGTGCATAAGTTGACTATATAAGGCATAAGACAAATTGCTTTAATTCAAAGACTCCTTGAAAGATTAATTTCTATAAGAATAGAATAGACAATATCTAACAAAGTGTAAATTTTTTGTTTTGCAATTCTATGATGAAGTAGATTATATGATTGAGAGAATTGTCTCCAAATTCTATACTATTTCCAATAAAAGTTAAATTCTTGTGAAATATATTCTTTTCCATTGTTTATTCTTAAGATATATATTTTCTTGCGTGTAATAGTTTTGTTTCTTTAAGAAAGATTCAAAACTTAGAGAAATCTTGGTTTTTTGCTAAAAAAAACTATATCTATGTATTCTTTAAAAAATTATCAAAAATTATTATAAAATATAATGTTTCTTATAAAGACTTGAGTTGGAATGGTTTTGCCACATCAAAATTAAATATTTAAGATGTTTCCAAGGTTTTTACCTAGTATATTATTTTTCAACTTTGTTTTCTTGACAAGAATGTGTAGCAACTAAGGTCTCTAATAGGAATGTTTGGCATATTATTTAGCATAATCCTTAATGGTAAAAATGTCATAGTCTTATTTTTGAGTGATTTTATTCTTTCAAAGATTTTGGATACAAATCTTTGTTATATCTTCCATTACTAATTGAATCTATTATTATAGTAGTAGCTATCTTAATTAGAGTTTTGGTAAATTGTCAAAGATTTAAAATTTCTCTTTTGACTTATTGAATTTGATTCTCTTTGATGTTAATGTCTAATCTTCTTTTCTTTGGTAATGGAACTTTGATTGTATATGCAATATGTACTTTATTGATATGTATGAGTAAGAACTTCTAATTCTTTTTTGGATCCATTATTTCTCATGAGAATGTTCTTCATTTGAAAAGCCAATGATCTTTAATTTTTTATTCCTGCCAAGTAATAACTTTTTGGGATTGAAGTATAAATAATAATATTCAAACTTAATGTATTTATCAATCCATTACTTGTCAATGTCGTGGAAAGAAGATCTTGCCTTGAAAAAACATTGGGATTTTGACTACAACTAATTACTTTGTATTTAATTCAATCAATGTACAATTACCTATGATTGCTTTTAGCTCTTATAATTGTAGAATTATTTTGCAACTATAGGCTTTGGAGTTGCCTATAAATATAGGCTCAGTAATTGC